CCTCTATCACATGCACTCAGCTGCTATTCACAGTGAAACTCAGATTGATGTGAATGATGGCAACTCACTCTGTTGTGGACATCGGTTCTGTAGTCATGGGAAATCAATGGGCAGAGCTTTAGCCTATCGAGATCAGCTCGTGCTATACAACAGGCATCTACAGTACTCTTCTTCCACTGCTACATCAGGACCACTCGCCAAGAGCTCAGTCAACGCCCGGTTATTCCGAGCATGTAAAGCTGCGGGCTTGTCAGAAGTATGCGGTCCGAATACCATCTCGATCGTTTCCGTCCCAGTCGAGTGGCCAAGTCTCGAACCATTCGTTTCGCTCGAGCCGATGTATTGAGAAGTCGAATTAGCTCGGTCGAATTCGAACGGACTGATCATCGAGTTAGACGAGTTCCTGAGACACATATCTCTTGAACTCGTCCAATTGAGGTTGGATGGTAATCACTCTCCGCCCAAAACGTTTGGCAGCATACTGCGAACCAAGAAGCGAGCTCTGGAAAGTCTGCTTGTGGAATGACTCAAAATCCGATGGTCGATGGAACCTGACAACCGCAGTAGTTTGCCTCACGGGCAAGTTGACCCGGCCAGCATATAGCATCACCTGACGAACCACTGCTCTCGAGAGTTTCGTGAGAGTGGCTGTCAGGAGAGCGGGGATGTTCCGCCGATGTGAAGGAACTTTCAGCCGCTCGGGGAACACAATCAGGCAGTGTGAGGTCGTCTTCCGGGCTTGGTAGATGTTCAGACGACGCTGAACTCGCCATCATAACAGCTGCCCACGGCACTACTGTAGTTTTCCATGCCTGTGACGCCCTCAGACCCTGGGTTTGATACTTTTCCGAGAGACTCTCTCTTGGGTACACTCTCTGCCCACTGGAAAATTTCCGCGTATTACAAACGATGGCGTACTATGCAGTCACACTCTGGATTGATACTGATTGACAAGACTAACGCCGACATCGTCTCTCAATTCTCATGGTTAATTAGCTTGCCTAACATGGTCAGATGCGAAAATGATTGGTACTAGATCACAGTATCGAACTGACCATACTGCATCTTGCTCGTAGATATCTCGTAGATTTTCAGCTGTTTGGCGACGACGCTCTGATGACTGTTTGCCGGACCATGTTTTTCTGAGAGTCCACCGTCACGCATTGCTTGGGGGAACTCCTATCAGCAGCCCCACGCTGGAAGTACTCACTAGAATCATCAGGGACCAATGTCTCTATTGTTGTGTGGAAACGAAACCTATATTTGCCAGGGAAGTAATGAACAAGATATCTGCAAGAGAAACAACCAGTAACTTCAGGGTATATCCCTGAGATTCGGGAACTCTCTAGGGAGAGTCTAATCAGGCCTACCCGCGGAGAGAATTGGACGCGACTATCTTTCCAGGTATACCAGCTGTTTCGACTTGATTCGCGATGGTCACGTCAACACCAAAGATATCATAGCTTATCTTTGTTGTAGCTGTAATGACGACAAATCGGGATCAGATGCCCACGGCCCGTGGGCCCGGGACATCGTTGTTTCACACCGGCAACAGCTCGGACTGAACTTGGACTCACCAATAACACCGCCAACGAACTTGCCGAAGTGCAGGCCTATCCGCATTTCCAAGTCTGGCGCGGACATTTCCTGTCGGACTGTATGAAGGGCCTCCACCATCGCCTGGGCGAATGATACCATCCTCCTAGCAGACTGTACCTGTCGATTGATATCGTCGATAGTCCGGTCGCACCAATAGGCCGAATGAGAGAATCATCGCGAGATCTGATTCTGCTCGCCAGAGACTGCTTCAGTGGCAGCCACCGAAGGATCTCCGCAGGAGATGCAGGGACCCCCTGCGATCGATGCACTTCACCGATTCGCCACGTAGTTTCACACTAAGTTTATACGATAATATCGCGTGACCATGAGCATCCTATCAAGAGCAACTGTCCATAATAAGAGAAGGCATCGACAGGAGAGTAATGAGCAACAGTCGATGTTGACGTCTCGCTACACACCTTATCGACACCTTCCTTAGGTTCTGTGCTAGCAACGTACGCATCTCCGATGGTGTGTACCTATGTCAACGAAATCGCTCACGTATGAGATTTCGTTCATGAGCAATGATGTGCGGCCGCGGCTCCGGGGTGAATTCAATCACGTGGGCGAGCGAGGTGCATTCGTTATAGAGACCTCGAGCTCAACGCTCGATGGCGTCAACCATACACAGTGTTGGTCATAGATATAGAGGCTACTTGAGGAGCTCACCTTGTACACTGCATAAGTGTCCGATAGACTGTCAAACCGTGAGAACAGGGTAGTGAGGAGTGATACAACTCGCTCGGCAGGGGCACTCTTCGCATAAGCTGTATAGTTGCATATATCAGCGAATAAGAGGGTCATGTTTTTGTATAGTGATGCCATGTACCTATCTGCTAGGTATGCTTCCAATGCCTGAATAACTTAGTCTAACCCATGGAGAAAGCTCTCGAAATCATGGCTTACAGATGAGGGCATGAATTCCGATAGTAATCGATGAGCTCGTTTCTGCCAGCTCTGGTATTCAATATCGGTCAAGAATATTCTCCTTTTCCAAGACTCTCTCATCCGCGCCATGATTATCGCAATAAATGCGAAACATACGACTAATGCTGATGTCTGGAGAGAATAACAGACTATAAACACATCGATATGCCCATCTCATTTACAATGACGAAGGATAATTGTAGAAGCGATTCTAATCCACAGGAAAGTTCTGTCCTACAATGATCAAAGTAAATTCGAAGTACTCCATCTCTACCCCCAAAACCCGACTTTCAGGCTCACCTCCGCAGCCAAGTCGGATCCGATGTATTCACTGAAATTCCACGAGATCACTACTGGAATAAGGATTATGATGTTGATGTAGAGGAGATGCTTGAAGAGCAATGCAGCATTGAAATTGATCATAATCAACCACATGGTCAGTTCGAGGCTATTCGCATAAGAATGGTATCTGTCAATAACCATCTCTCAGGGTCTAAGCGTCAGTCACAGGAAATAAGTCAAGCGAAGCCAATGGGACAGGAGTGAAGTCTGTCACCCTGTAGCAGCCGGCGACTCGGTGATGCTCAGATTACTGCATGTAGGATCATCGGCATCACAATCATCTCGCCGCACGTTTTCGACGAAAACGAGGGTATGTAATGAAGCCACCAAAATCCCAATGGCGTACACTCCGACTGTGAGTAGTCTCAGAGCTGGCGCAGACAAGAGACTCCTCAGCGAGTAGAGCACATACAATACCATCAGGAGGATCCATACCGTGAGTCGGGCGAGGAGGACGCGGGAAAATATGACTTGCGGCTGTTGTGGTGCAACCAGAAGCTCGATGGTTTGGATAAGGTAAGATACCGACAGAATGAGGAGCACATATCGAGTCGATCTCGAGGTTACAAATGTCATCAAACGACCCTCTCGGAACCGGATCTCATAGGAGCTTTGGAGGAACTCCATAGTGTACATGCTGGCCCGATCTTTTCCGAGATCCATACGTTCGACGGCGTGCTCTTTTTGAACATCATATCGGTCATTGTTGCGTCGCAAAGCCTCTACAGCCAAGTTCAGATCGCGAGATTTGTCGAAATTAATTGTCCTCTCATTGCAGCTAACATCTGACCCAGCCAACCAAGGGCTGGACGAGTGGAAAGCATCATACGCTTGCTCATCCAAACTTTCTTCTGCCCCATTCCGCCAACGTATGGATGGTTTCAAGCTCGCGATGAGCTTCCTAACGGGAGCCGTGAGTGTACTGGTTGCCGAGCCACCGAGACTGGCCTGGGAGTGCCTCCGTAGAGGTTCAATCCCTCCCAACTTCTCCACTTTAGAAGTGTCGAACGAGACCGCAAGATCTCTGCTCGTCGACATCGCGCCAACATCTTGCAGATGTGAAGAGTCGACAACCCGAGAGGCATCGTAAGTCATCAACACCCCTTTTCCTTTGACAAACGTCTCGCGCTCTTCGAAGGAAAGACTCGAGGAGAATTCCAAACACTCGCGAGTGCTCGCCGAGAGATGAACACGATTAGGAATGGCGGTGGACTTCATCCGCGATGCAGTGTTGATGGTGTCTCCGAAGATACAAAACTGTGGTCTTTTAGAGCCGACCACCCCAGATATGACCGGACCAGTGTGGATGCCAATTTTCAAAACCAAAGCAATTGCAAACCCCCTCATACACTCGTCAGGTCCAGTGTGCGCTGGGACATTCATGTGAGCGGTATTGTCCAGTATGTCCAAGCCCAACAATACTGCGCGGAAGGCATCCTTCGACACAACATGATCAGATGAGTCACCATCCGGGTTGAGTCCACTGCAGACAACATAGGACTCAGAGACCGTTTCGAGCTTAGTCAAAGCGTGAACAAACACCAACTTGTCGATGTTGCTGAACAATCGGTGTATCATCAAAATGAGCTGCTTCGGTACCAGTGCAGCGACCAACTGCGGGAAGTCGGCCACATCACAGAAGAGTACAGTCACGTCTCCACAGTGCCGGGCAAATGTTCCGATTTCCAATGTAGATGGGATTCTTGAGGAGCCCGTTTTAGAAGAACTCTCTGTTGACCGTCGGGAAAGCAATCGAGACTCAGTACTGCTACCGAAGGGGAGCCCTCTATTGTGCTCAATGATCGAATCGACTACGAAATCTGGAAGCATGTTGTTGAGTACTTCCTTACTGCGGGATTGCTCGACTTTAGAATTGAGAGAGACGAGATAGTGGCTCCTCTGATCAAGTTCGGTCTTGTATCCGAGTGCCGCACTCATCGATGTTATCGCGAGCATCATCGGGAGGTAGTCCAGCAGTTGACAGAGGTTATTAAATTCGACCCCACAGTCTCGCGAGTCGTGTCCATCCATACTCGAACCATGATGGATCTCCAATGTACGAACGAGATGGATCGTGATGAAACAGATAATGTGGACGATAGATAGGGCAAGTGCTCTCGGAAATCGGATTTGAGCAGCAATATGCACACTAAAGGGGATCCAGGCAGCCAAGAGAGAATCGTCCACTCCATCGACGATCCTCATCACATAGAACTCAGCTATAAAAAGAAACGCTAGGGATGCTAGGACCGTAGTGTAGTTACGGCGACAGAAGCGGGTGAACGTTAATAGGTATGCAAAGGTACCGAAAACTGGGATGATAACAAGTGAAACAGATACCCTTCCTGACGGGCTCAGCTGCTGAAACATCCACCACGACCACAGAGGGATGAGGATAATTTTTAGAGCCAATTTGATATGCTTTATGGCTTCAGCTCGGGAATGAATGCGATAGCCAGATTCTGTTGCAATGTTCTTGAACTCCAGTGTCCTGGAGCTAACTCGCCTCAACGTTTGAGAGGAAACGTGCTCGCCTGCCGCTTCAGTTTCATCAGCCAACAATCTAAATACACCCCGGCAAAGTCTACGGACTACTGAGTTCAGTCGCGTGGCACTCGGAGTTCGCGATGGCAACGGGGACACTTCGTTCCCACCAACACTTGCGTCGGCCATAAAATCGCTCACGGATTGCGTGAGGGAGCCCGGTACACAGGGGAAGCTTTCCTTGAGTTTTTCAGCTATATGCGATAAACCTTGCTGTGTCCAGCGGCTAGGAGCAGCCGCCAGCCACCGTTGGAGTTGTTGTACCGGCGTTGCTGCATCCCTCGAAAAGACGAGTAACTTCAGTAGTATACTTCCACAGACGCAGATATCAATCACAAAGATGAGAACCAACCAAGTGATCGGAGATTCTCCCCACAGCATTTCAGCCACATTGGTTACCTTCGACCATGGACGGCCAATACGGGAGTATAGAGAAAGAAATGGTACAAATGCAATGATAGAGACGGAGCAGAGCAGTAAGAAGAGGGATGACAGATGATTAACGAGAACGACCAGTATACAATTGACGACGATCACCACCGAATAGTAGATGAGCGTACCCATACAAGCGTGACTCATCAACTCGCCACTGGGAGTGATAACGGAAGAGTAACCCACAACGACCGCGACCGAAACGTAGGCGACTGCAGCACAGAAAGTCGCTCCTAGTATCCATACGATAAACTTCCTCGCATTGAATGAGAATGACTTTCTCCCTTCAACATATACGATGGGATACCTCACAACGACCCAGCGTGGCAGGGTGATATCCATGGCGCCGATGACTATGATGGGGAGGGAAGTCCAGAAGACATTGTAAGACATCAAGATCCAGGAGTCGTACAGGGAGGTGCCAGTGAATGCATTGCTCAAAGCGAAAAATACATTCGGCAATATCAGGAAGATGTTCTTGAAGAAGGAATAGAGTATAACGAGGGTAATACGGTTGTAGCAGTCTCGGCCGTGGATTAACATCAGCTGTCCAAGGTGAGAGAATGTGGCAATGGCATAGTCTGAGGCTCTGACGGCCTGCATTCCTTCGCTCCCAATGACTCCAATACCGATGTTGGCCACCTCAAGCATAGGAACATCGTTAGCTCCATCGCCTATAGCCAAAGTGATACAATCATCTGCTTTTTTTAGCAGTTGGACGATCAGTGCCTTCTGTGATGGTGAACAGCGACATGCCACCACCGATCCGGTATTCATGAGGATACTGGACAAGATTATCGAATTGCTCTTCGACGAGGAGAAGCAGTCTATTGCTGAACCATCCAAAACGACGCATAAACAACTCGTTTTCCCACGAGCGGTCCACTTCACGTATTCGTCCTCAAAGTTCTTCTGTTTTTGTCGTACGAAGCATCTGCTGCTTCATTACTCATCCCACGCTCGTAATTGGAGCAAAGGTCGACACATACGCATTCCGGGGTAAGAGTTCAACAGCTCGAGCAATGTTCAGGGAGGTCTCGTAGCGATCACCCGTGAGCATCCAAACCTTCACGCCCGCATTCAACATCCGACAAACCGTTATATTCACGCCACGCTGTATCTTGTCTTCCACAGCAGTGGCCCCGAGAACAATAAGATTCGTCTCAAACTTATCGGCTATTTGAGCGAATCGGTCAGCTCGATTCGTTATGGAGTGCCTAGCTTCATTCAGGGCTCCAAGATACTCTGAGGTCTCGACTTCATCAAGATACCGCATCGCTAGCATGAGTGTTCGAAGACCAGTTGATGCGAATTCATTGATGTCAAAAACCGTTTCCTCTCGAACATCCCGAACAGGGACCCCACATAAGGCGATAGCTGAAGCCTCTCCAACACCTCTCTGGCAGAGTTCGACCATCACGTCGTCTGCACCTTTCACCAATAGCATAGACCCGCTACCATCGGGGATATAGGCGATGTCCCCTTCATCAGTTTCAATGGTCTTCATGATTTGGACAAGAATGCTCATGCGTTTGCGTTCGCTGGTGAACTCGTTGACACCGAGAATTTTGAAAGTGGTATCCTCCCATTGTCGCTCCTTTCCTGCGGGACTGGGCCGTAGTATCCTAAGTGACACGAAATCCGAGCTTCGGTTCGTGAGGATGTAGCCCGAGCTCGCAGCCATTTCAACCAAGGCCTCCTCATCCGGGCTAGCGCCTTGGAAACGGACTCCGATCAGTGATTTGGTTGACGTCTCGACAATAACGGTGTTACATATCGCGCACGTTAGCATGAACAGATGGACGAAAGCATCCTGAGGCCTTGTGATCGCCGAGACTCCCAGATATTCGAGTAACGCCTCATCACGTAGGCGGTTTTTCTCAGTGTCCGGGAGCATCTTGTTGCTTCGCCAAGAGTAAAGGTTGTCGGAGTGAATACTTTCAGCCGTGGGTGCCTTCTCTTCACTCCCATACTGTACTCCACCAATACTGCACGTTTTGAACGACATCCGATTCTCCGTCAAGGTTCCGGTCTTGTCAACCAGAACGTAGTCAACCCGGCCAAGATCATCGTTGAGGCCTGATGCGCCTACGATAATCGAATGCTGTCCTTCCTTCAAATAAGGATCCCGCTGAATAAAGTATGCCTGAAAGTAACTATCTCGCCATTATGAGCTTTCGTGACGACAGAGTAATCGTGAGTCAGCTGCTTGATATCGACAGCGGCAGCGTAGAAAGCTCAGTTGATAACATAAGCGCCGAGTACTCCGCCCAGGCTGACCTGTATTGATCTGACGATGTCCACGGTTACGTAAAGTGATATCGGGACCATGTTGTTGAATAGGAGAAGGAATGTCAAGAATTGCTGTCTCTGAAAAGCATTCTGCCGCTGACTAACGTGACATTCACTTGGAATCACAAATAACGTAGACCTACCCAGGTGCCACTGTAAGTATACATGCCTACGAATCGCTCGAACCTGTCCCTCGAGTCGCGTGTGCATGCAAAAGCTATGGTTAGTCCCAAAGATAGTGCCAGCATGAACCCAAGAACGAAGCCCAGGTACCTGAAAGAGTTGGGGAATGATGAATATATTCATGCCAATAGCTTGGGCAAACTCGAGACAATGATCACATCAGCGAATTTGTTGTAGAGTCTCCGTTGTAGATTCTCCGATGGAGCTGTACCCGTAAGGCGGAAGCCGTCAATGTCATGCAACTCACACAACAACACTCCGGAAGCGAGCTGATGTGTGATAGAGTAATACAAGAACCGTCATTTGCCGGTTCGGCATATTCAGTGCTCCAGTTCCTATCATTTCAATGGACTAGGAGTGCCAATGGCACTGTGCCACCGTCACGGCACCACTGCGTCTGATCCTGTGATTGGTACAGTATAAATGACGGTGGAAAATAAATATACCATTCGCGAATCTATATTGCGGGTGGTAGAACCGCTATGCCAGCGGACTATACCATTCAGGAATATATTTGGCGAGTAGGGGGGCCGCTATGCCAGCGGTCTATACCATTCAGGAATCTATTTGGCAAGTAGGGGGGCGCTATGCCAGCGGACTATACCATTCAGGAATCTAATTGGCGAGTAGGGGGGCCGATATGCTAGCGGACTATACCATGCAGGAATCTATTTGGCGAGTAGAGGGGCCGCTATGCCAGCGGTCTATACCATTCAGGAATCTATTTGGCGAGTAGGGGGGCGCTATGCCAGCGGACTATACCATTCAGAATCTAATTGGCGAGTAGGGGACCGATATGCTAGCGGACTATACCATTCAGGAATCTATTTGGCGAGTAGAGGGGCCGCTATGCCAGCGGACTATACCATTCAGGAATCTATTTGGCGAGTAGGGGGGCCGCTATGCCAGCGGACTATACCATTCAGAAATCGAATTGCCGAATAGGGAGGACCGTTATGCCAGAAGACTATACCATTCAGAAACCCACGTGGCGAATGGGGGCCGCTATGCCCGCGGACAAGAAACCCACATACACGAGTAAGAACAATAATTTAGCGCTTGAGTTTACATAAGTGTGTCATATTAAGAGTCAGTTCAGCAGCAAGCTCTCAATAAGGATCTCAATTCGGCGGATGAGTACCGAAAATTCATGATGGAGCGAACCAATTCCGACGGTAAGGGCATCTATTCCGGGGGACCGCCTTGACCCGTCATAGAGCCTTGGACCGTATAAGGGAGTCAGGTACAGAAATAACGACTCTGCTAGGGAAACAACAATGCTTGCATCACCGTGTCATAAGGCGTTAATCTTCCCAGTTTCCTTTGAGAGAGTCAGAACTGAGAAGTGACGTCTTCGATCCGATTCAGGTCAACCTTGAGAGCATCCGACACCCCGTCGTTCTTATTGCCAGTCAGAAAGCGAAAAATGCCTCCTTTTCCCGCTAGATACTGAATAGAGCGAACCCTATCGTTGTGGTTCCGAAAATTGTAATCCCTTGGGTTTTTCCATCATTGGATCATCTTGTGAACGCGCTATGACCTAAAAGCCTGTCCCTAGTTGCGGAGCGAGCGAAGTGAGCGGAGCATATACCGCAACAACAGGCACTTTCGCGTTGTGCGTGCGTGCGTGATGAATTATTTTGACTGAACTACCGACCGTCCGAGGGCATCAGATGAATCAAACGAGTCCTCTATGCCCGGAGGTTTGCAGAAAAATCGAAAAACTTGACTACTCCCACAGCGTCAAGAAATATGTGCGAAAAACAATTTTCGATGGAAAAATGCCCAACCCGGGGATCGAACCTGAGACTAACTCCAGGGTAGAGTTTAGTGCGCGATTCGAGATGTATGACTATCGAATGACCCTGACGAGCGCAATTGAAAATCAATTTTGATCATCACATCTCCACAACGATCATTACTTCCCAACATCTCAATCAAAAGATGCGGATTAATCGAGCTCCGCCCCTTCGTCACGAAGGCCTAGTATGGATATGTTGACATAAATTCCGTCCGCAATGTTCGATAGGCCACACGTAAAAAGTACAATTTAACCAATGTATTCCAAGATCTCATGACATTAAATTCTATATTCAGAAATTCTTATAGAACAATTTGTATCTTCAACACACCGTGCCGCGTCAGTGCCCTGCCAGGAAGGGTGCACGGTAGATCACATCCAGGTTGTTGGTCAAACGGTGCTCAAGTCCGGAGGTTTTACGGATCTAACTTACCCAGTTTTGCTGGTAGACGCGAGGTCATATCGCATAATATGCGATGCATATGCTGGCAAACCCACTGTCCTCCTCTAACTCTTTCAAAAATATGACGATTTATGTCCGGGTATTCATTCATTCGATATATCCTAGTAGGATAACCCTGCTCTTTCCTACCGATGATACTAAGAGTCAAGATCCACGATCCGTGGGCAAACCATCCTTTCAACCAAACTGGTGAAAGTGTTTGTATTCTGGTAATCAGACATTGTCGTTGGCAACTTATCGAGACGTTCATCTCGATATGTTTAATAGGTTGCATCACTGGTGTGCTCTGCACGTGACCTTGATTCCTGCCCCGCGTCTCAACACGATCCGCGTCACGCGAGACGTAGCAGCATACCGCGGTTCCCCGGTAATTCCCGGACGATCTCACCTGTTTATTTGGAGCTCCACCTTCGACCTCTTGATTGGCGCATTTGGAGTCATATTCATGGCTAACTTAGTGTCCCTTCCCACATAAACAACGACGCCGCAACACCACGCCGTATTGCGGATCGACGATCCGCGGAGTACCTCAATATCGAGATAATCACTGATGACACTGGTCGAGATGGCCTGCATTGGAGACGGAAACACTCAGGCTTACCAGGTTCTTCGCATCAGCAGGTTCCCTGAGCCCTCCTCTGAGTCGAAAGAGGCCGTTGAACTCGTCGATGAGAGCATTGGGGGCATCGCACGTCATTGATCCGACACACTCGGAAACCAATGGAATAGAGGAGAACATCCGCCTAAGTCGACACCGACAGGATTCATGACCTCTCTCGTCTGATGATTTCACAGCTAATCTCGGCCATGATGTTACCGCACGAGATGTTCCCACTAGTCTAGTGGCATTAGAGGGATCGCGAGGAGCACCAGGCAGAGGGCATGGCCGTGCACTACCGTGTCTCGGGAAGAGCTTGTTTGACTTTCAATGCCGACTCTCCATCGAGCTGACTCGTTTCCACATATACCGTTCCGTCTGGGTCGCTGGTGGCTATCAGCAGCATGTCGGCCTGATATGATAGCTCAAGCATACTAATATGAGCATGTCAAGACACACTGGAACCTCTTCGCCTCTTCTCAAATACAGAAGTGATCCGGATGTGATGTTTTCCCAAGGAATCAGCTCCAAACCTGCCATATATCGAATAAAGCTCCCCCGATTGTAGGCAAATCACCTCCGACATCTCGATCATGCCTCTCACTAGCCTTCGCTTTCACTACCACTCGACAAAGGCGCTTATTGACCTACTGATCATGTGCAGGTTCCACTCTCCTATGACAAGGACCGTGGCTAACTCGAATGCACACCTTGGTGTCATTCATGTAACGACGATAGTCCTCTATCGCATCTTTGATCATCGTCAAGCTGAGGACAAATACCAGGGGCACGATAGTGGCCCACTCAGAAGTCGGACTCAGATTGTACGGGAGCATCTGGCAAATACCTAGAGGGAGGGGCAACCCTAGTAGCAACTCTCAGGCACCGAGGAGAGCGCCCTCCGCAATGGCCCAGCAGTCTCCTGGAGTGAGCTGCATTGATTGTCATCGACACCCGATGGCAAAGTGCATGAACCTCTCACCGACAAGTAGAAACCACAAGTTCGCCACGCGGTGGAACTGCTCCCAGAGGTTCAACGGGACGAACGTCAGCAAGCGGTACTTCGTCGAGGCGATCTAGCAGGGAAAAGACGATGTAGGGAATGAACTTCGACTTCCCAGCATTCGTCAAAAGCTATCCAATCGATGCTATAAATAAGGCACTTGATGGACAATAGACAAATTTGAAGCCATTGATGATCAAGCGCTATATACCGTTCAGAAATACTTCTTAGGACTGGGGTCGCTATGCCAGCGATGCGCGCGGGAGGCGCATTGCTAAACTGGGCTCCGTTCTCGGCTAACGTGATGTACTTATTTGACTCTGAGTGTCAAATTGGTGTCCTTCACGTGTATGTCAATTCTGATTCTGGGGGCATAGCTGCCCCTATTGACCGAGTCGATCCATAAATCGTGCAGCTCAAAGGCATAGCGGGCCCTTTCCACCGAGTCTATTTCTGAACTGTGCAGCCCGAAGGCATAGCTGCCCCTATCCACTGAGTTGATTTCTAAATAATGTAGTCCGAAGGCATAGCTGCCCCTATCCACCGAGTTGATTTGTAAATGAAGTAGTCCGAAGGCATAGCTGCCCCTATCCACCGAGTTGATTTGTAAATGAAGTAGTCCGAAGGCATAGCTGCCCCTATCCACCGAGTTGATTTGTAAATGAAGTAGTCCGAAGGCATAGCTGCCCCTATCCACCGAGTTGATTTGTAAATGAAGTAGTCCGAAGGCATAGCTGCCCCTATCCACCGAGTTGATTTGTAAATGAAGTAGTCCGAAGGCATAGCTGCCCCTATCCACCGAGTTGATTTGTAAATGAAGTAGACCGAAGGCATAGCTGCCCCTATCCACTGAGTTGATTTGTAAATTAAGTAGTCCGAAGGCATAGCTGCCCCTATCCACTGAGTTGATTTGTAAATTAAGTAGTCCGAAGGCATAGCTGCCCCTATCCACTGAGTTGATTTGTAAATTAAGTAGTCCGAAGGCATAGCTGCCCCTATTGACCGAATAAATGTCTGTATGGTATAGCCTGCTCAAGGCCAACAGAGCAGATCGACTACCAGCACGAATTCAGTTTTAAGGCAGATCCGATTACCCTGACTTACTCTATTGTGGAAGTCAGTTCGATGACTGGGACAAATGAGGGTGCATAAGCTCAACCTGGCGGAGAAAAAACATCTGAGAATATAGCGGTTGCGTAGGGTACTCATCGGAAACTGTCATGTCGTGATCAGTCGCCAAAACCTCGGCAAGAGCGCGGTTGTTTTTGGTATGCAACTGTGCTGATGTGTGGGACAGGAAAGGCCCAAACAATAGTTCAATGGTCTCCGCTCTAGTCGAGTCGCCGGAGCTCGAATTATTAACACCGCCACGGATAGAGATCTCCGATAGGGAATCGCGACGACCGAATTCGAATGGGCTAACCAGTGAGCTTGATGAGCTTCTGAGATCAACGGCGATGCCTCCATCACGACAGGCAGGAAGGTCAATCACCTCCTCCTGAATAAGTTTGGTAGCATGTCGCGAGCGAAGGCTCGAGCTTTGTTCAGTCCCGAGGAAGATCTAGCAACATGTTCGCGCCCAATATCACCTGAACTCAGTGGTCGCTCGTCAGCACTATGTGCAGAAAGCTCATACCTGTTGATGCAAAGCTCACTGTAGTGGTACTCGGTCGAACCGCAGGGGGTGTGAACGTGTCGGATGATGAACGACTATCTTGATCCATCCGTATTAAGCTGTTCGGTAGTCCGTTGCTGTTTTCTTCATCGGATGTGTTTTTCGGTATCGAGTTGTCCATCACAGAAAAGCACTTTCACAGACACTGCCAAGCGGAGAGCGTTTTCCAATTAAGAGCAACTTTTGCAACTGCGAACTGCTCGACTCTGAAGTTAGCAATTACTAGCTATGATTTTCTCTGAAGAGATTTACAACGCGACAATCAGGTGATTATCCCATCTGGAAGGTTCTCGATCGATTATCCACCAAAGTCGACGATCGGCGTACTCCAGAAACCGAATCCCATTAAACTGCACGTGCAAAATTGTAGAGTCGGCCGTATCCTATGAATCCAATCTGAGCTTGTAATATCGGAAACGTCAATCCAATAATACTTGCCGTAGTCCTATCAATAAATCAGAGCACTCTCTTCAACTGTCACAAACGAGCACAGCGACCCTGGATCATCTCCCAAACTGAGAACACAACGCCTGAGAACAATTCAAGCCATCATCAGCTCCGACTCAACCTGTTGAGTAACAAGTGAGCTGGCTCTGACGCTGCCGTTTTACGGGCATCGTAGTAATGATAACCTATCACCGTAGTGGTAGTAGTAGCAGGCAGCAATCCCGAACAGCCTGATTTAGGCTCTGAAGCTCTTCTTGATGGCGCTGTACTTCTTGCTGGCAAGAGGGATAAGGTCAGGGCGGGTAAGGGCCAACTGAGCCTTGATGCTCTTCTGGGCCTTCTTGGCGCCTGAATTCGGAACACGTACCAAGGCGAAACCCGATCTCGACCCGTCATTACTCTTGGAGACACCAGTGGTGGTGTAACGCGTGCAGGGCTTAGTGGTCTTCCTGCTGGTAGTGAGCACGATAGTCTGCTTGTTACCAGTGGTCTGGATGTCCAAAGCACCAGCGCGGACGTTGGCAATACCAGAGTAGCTGAGAAAGAATGAAATCCCATCACGTGACTTATGCATGATTATTACCCAGCGCGGTTGAGGTTAGTCATGTTACCGGGCTCGGTGGTGAAAGCGGCGGTGTTAGCACGCTTCTGGATGAAGCAGTTGTTGTTGCGGACACACTGCCAGATGAGCTGTTGAGAGGCCACCATTACTGCTTGTTACGGTAATCAACACTGAATACGACATTATCCCCAGTCAACCCACATTGTAGCAACCACTGTCCACAGAAGCTCGACGAAAATGACCTCCTACACCGCGAAAATTCCCAACATCCTAATGAACTACAAGTAGCGATGCACTTGCAAGCTATCCCGCAGTTCAAGTCGTCGTAGTCTACCATGCAACAACGGTGTCCCCGGGTCGGAAAGACAAAAAATTGCACAAGGCGAAGGAGCTAACAACAAATCGATCAGCTGGGCGAGCGATACCTCATTGACTGCGCATGATTATTGCGACCTTGCCAAAGATTGGAATCGTTCTTTCGAGACCTCAGTCATTGAAGTTGCTCATTTTGTGGTAGAGTTATATATTTTGTACTTCATAGTGTGCAGGAAACATCCTCGATAAGGCGGAGTTCTGCTCGGAGGCTGATGAGCTCAGTGAGCTTCTTATAGGCTTATCTGGAAAGGAGGGATGTGGAATAGTACCAGACGAGTGACAAGCCTTAACAGGTACTACTCTTCTCTTGAGCAGTATAATCTGATTGCCCTCTAGGACTAAGTTATGCTGCTGTGAGTAAAGACTCCATCGGTAGGCATGGAGGTTGGTGGTTTGTCGGAAACCGCGTGCTATCATAGCACGCGGTTTCCCACTTTCACCACACACTTATACCCCTACACATAGCACTGCTATATGTAGGGGTATTAGTGTTTCTTATGATTGATGCTAGTTGAGAAGCCGTTGATCGTAACCGCCTGGGTTGTGCGATCTTGAATGTATACTCCAATATAGGATGCTCACCGCCTACTTGCAGGTGGACCCGGCAAACCACGTGAGGTCATTGACGTCGTGAAGGGTGATGTCGTCATTCATAGAATGTCCTGTTAGCCCAGGCAGTTAAGCTATAGGTTGTTGTAAAAGCAACCTATCTCAAATATGAATTATGGTTTATCTTTCTACTACTAGTGTTGGAGCTGGCCTCTCTTGGAACGCATGCCCATGTAAGCTCTGTCAGGGTCCTGTGCCTGGTCCACTGATCTGGTGAAGAGTAAATGGTATGGTATGATAAGCGCTGGCTTGGTTGCCTTATAGATTCTGTTCTCGGCAGGGATCGGTAGTATTCTAATTGACGAGAAGTAGGGGCTACGGTATGTCGTAAATTTGACGTAGTATGCACTGTGAAAATTCATTCTGAGAGGCCCGAAGGGGCTATACGCAGACCAGTAGGGATCGCATCGCTGATGATATCTCTCCTGCTACCCCTCCCGGGAGGAGTGGATTTGTGATTGCAGGTGTCCATGGTTTTGCTCATGTACAGATGCTAATCTCAACCACTATGTGGAGGTTATCTCACAGATGCGGTAAGACCACTTGGACGTTAATCTGCTATGGTTAATTCCTATAATGGTGCCATCGCCCTTTTTCTCTTCGAACTATGTGGGTTTTGTTGTTAATAGGGACGTGATGATGGGAAATAGTGTGGCAACTGTTGGAACCTTGAATATCGATTTAACTTCTTGTTGAGACTGTAGTCTCTGTAAGCCATGGTATGACCATAAACTGATTATATATCACTATACCATTGGGAGTAACCTGCCGGGCCTGCATGTGCGTTGTTGATGAGTTCACCTAGCCGTGGAGGGTTGGGTCATCAACCGCTAACCATCCGAGGGTTAATAGTCTGGGAAGGCTCGCTGCCGTGAATTGCAGGGTGAAGTACTTCTCTACATAGCTGCTTATATTATGCATGTGTTTCCCTCTGAAGATGGCTCATGAGCATGCCTTTTGGTATAGGAGGCATTCGAAATGAACTCCTCAGAGAGATCGATGAAGTCGACTTATTTTTTCTCACCATCAGGCCTCTTCTTGCCTTTACCGGCTTTTGCCGTTTTCAAGCCCCTATCATGCACGACTCGAAGTCTCGCGACAAGCCACTTGTGAGGAGATCCCCGTTATTCCCACTGCTTCTTGTTATGGTTATAGCAGCAATAGTGCAGCCATTCGCTGTACACGCAGCGGACAACGAATACGAGGAGGTGAGTTGCGTCGGGGATGGTATGGGATTTACAACCTTTTTTTAGATATCAGAGGACGTCAGCGATCTTTGTGAATCTGTTGAGCTGGGTGATGGTACATATTACCTTGTTGCGGCGTACAAGGGGAATGCGGTCGCGGTAAGCTTGCCTGAGTGGAGACTTCGTGTTTTCAAGAAATTTGTTCTTGTCGCAGTTGGCCAGCACTCGGTCCGGTTCAAAACAACCTTATGTCGGTTGTGAAGCAGTGCAGCGCCCTATCTATCGATCATTTGAGGGGAGGTTTGTGGTGGAGAGCACGTGCGGCCGCTCGACTGTGCGATTCTATTTTAAAGACCATCACGGTGCATCGGACTTTGCTGTGCAGTGGGGTGGCGTCACTACGGTGAGTTGGTCGGGTCGAGTGCAGGGTGGGAAAATATGCACATCGTCAACTAGGTGTTTATGGAGGTTCTGAGGGAATTTTGGTAAACTATTCTCAATTTCTATACACTTTAGCATAATTTCCCGAAAATTTCCTAGAAAATTTTTATATTGTCACCAACGCACGTCGTTGAACATGTGACAATTTTCCCACACTTGAGTCTATTCAGGTTGAGATTGTTGAGGAGTACATTTCGAAGTCGCCTGTATTCGATTCTCCTGCACTTGGGGATGGGCTGAAACTCGTCAAAGCTGCGGTTGATTACTCACCGGAACACTTCTTTGCTACTGGGCGCAGATTGGAGGTAAGCCACCATCCTTGAAGTCGTTGATAAGGTTATTCAGTTTACTGTTGGGGGGAAGCCTGAGAGGTTAGCCTTACGATGTGATCGCGTTCGGGAGCAGGGGAGTTCAAAGAGAGGCTATTCTGTTGACGAAGGTAGCCAGAAGTGTTGGGGGAATATGTGTTCGCTTGCTCTCAGCCAAGTGAAGTAGTTTACATAGGAATTCGGGTAGAAGTGTAAAGAAACCAGTGAGAATTTCCTCAAAATTCTTTCGCAAATGTGGTTGAATATGTGCGTATTGTTTCACACTGGAGGTAGCTGACGTTACAGCTCGTATTCTTATCGCGATTGTTTTTCAGTGAGTTCGTTGTTCACTGTGAAGGTGGCGTGCATGGATGAGAATAAAGCAAAGATGACTTTGAATATTCCTTTTGAAAAGAATTATGTGGCGAGTGACTTTGCTGCTAACTGGGGCTATTTCACTCACGCTGTAAGTCTTGGGGTTATTGCTTAAGGAGCACTTACTGGTTTAGATACGAGTCAACAGCAGTGCGGCGAATCCTGAGATTGAGGGCATGCGAGTTGAACTTAACCTTGATTCGAAGAGGCCTCGGGAACGCCTTATTACAGTGAGCTTCGACAGTTACTTGGAGGGTTTTTATTGACTCCTACTTAGTACAATTCGGTGAGATATACGTGTGGTGCGGTATACGTTGCTGATGGGAGTGATGAAGGCGGCGGCGGTTTTTCGATGAAGGCCGACTGTGCGCAGATCGGCGTGTGGGAACGCGGCGAAGTAGAGTTCAAGCTTAGAAATGTTCGGGAGGGACGGCGTATTGCCTATGAGCTCGGCGGTTACCGAGGGGTAGGGTGATTTCCTGGAGGTGTGGTATGGTATGAGTGTCTCACAGGTCCGTGATGAATTATTGACGAAGATTAAAGATGGTAGAGTGTTTGGTGAGAAGAGTGGTATTGCTAAGGTGACCAGAGCCTCTGGGGAGGTCAGTCTAGCAGACACGGAGAACACTATCAAACAAAGGCTCGAGGTAAGCCTATGGAGAACCATGTCTCTTTGAAAGACCTCATCAGATACGCTTTGGCGACGGTGGGACGAAGTCTATGCGGTGTTTGCC